TCAAAGTGCACACAAACACTATCCCACTGAAAAAACTATTCAGACACCAAAGATTACTGGTACTATTGTAAGCGCGTTAGAACTGACTAAAACACAATGAAGCTATTATTAAAAAAAAAAAAAAAAAAAAAAAAAAAAAAAAAAAAAAAAAAAAAAAAAAAAAAAAAAAAAAAAAACCCAAGTGACCACAACAGGACCTTACTTTGCGAGGTCAAGGAACATGTGCATGAAGAGACCACGCTAATAAACACCAAAGTGGCTAGAATGGTGTTCACATCTTTATGACCACCTTAGAGGTGGCAGCAAATCCACTGAGCCAAAGGAAATAAACGCCTAAAAGCCCCACATCTTAAGGATCCGCATCAGAAGCGGAAGTACTGGCAACCAGGAGTCAGAAAGCAGCTAGTACTCAACTTGCGGATGTATTAGCAGTGCAGACCAGAAGAAATGTGGCACAGAACCTTAACAACATTTGCAAAAGTTTGACACTAATAACCATTACACACTAGACGAGCACAATTGAACTAAGAAAAACTCCAAGAATACATCCCCTGGATACTACAAAATAAACTAAAATGATCAGGAACCTCTGCCCAGAGGGAGACGCTGCATACTTTACGTTAATTAATCGAGCCTGGATTTTTAAAACTAGATCTAGAGGTTTGAATAGAGCAAACTGTACCGATCCCAAAACCCAAAGATTCAGCTAAACCCAGGCCCATTTCTCCAAAGCTGAGCAGCAAAGACAGCCAACAGAATGATACTCAACAGACTTTAGTTGAAAATACCTAAACTGCACCATGGTATGCATGACTATAGAAGAGAGGTTGGCTCAGTGGACTATTACAACTGTTGGCTCACTTTAACGACAGACCAGGAGGGCCGATATTCCTGGACCACGAGAAAGCCTTTGAATTTACTATTCTCTGCCGCCTCATTGATAAAGATGTCAGAGTTAACCTGCTCTCCAGGACTAAAAGCTGTCTCAGAAGCAAGAAGAAACTTCATGGCACAGTTTCTTAAAACAAAAGACATGAAAATGATACACCGCAAGGCGGCATTTTTTGCCCCCCTTCCTCTTCAATTGTTTAATGGAAAGAATAAAGAGGTTAAAACTCAACATCGTAGGCTGCCAAACTACGCAGACGACTGTCATCATCAGAAAAGGAAGGGATGAGGTGTGCCGTGCACCCAAATGTTTAGACTGCATCACTGAAGAGGCAAAGCAGATTGGTATCAAACTCAACCCCACAAAGACAAAAGCTATGCCCATAGTAAAAGCGAAGCCCAACAGGTAACTCATAGTACAGGGTCAAGCAATTGAATGGGTGATCACTTATTAGTATCTAGGAATAATCATGGACAAGAATTTTAATGCCGAGGTCACTTTAGAGAACAGCGGCTCAGACAGCACTCTTCAGGTCACTAACCTTCCTCTCTGGAGGAGCCAATCTGCAAGTCCTTCGCACAAACGATGTACAGGCAGTCAGACCAGTAATCGACTATGCCGTACCTTCACTCAAGTATCTCACCAATATTGGAAAAAGCTTGAAATTGCTCCAAACAATGCTACGAGAGCTGCCCTAGGAGCCCCTATGTGGACTAAACTTTAAACTCTACAGGGGAAACGGGTTTGCCCTCTCCAAGAACTGATATCAAAGAACAGCTACGATTATCAGCAAGATAATTATTTCCCCTGATCCAGTCCCAGTACAGCAGGCCTTTGTGGTTGGACTTTTGCCGAAACTGAAACTCTTGGCCTGCCAGAGTGGGAAATTTCCTAAACAGAATTAAAAAGCACGATTTTTGACAGCGTGATCAATCACACCTAAATTACACTTGTTCCCCGCCATGGGAGCAGCCTACCTTCAAAATAGTAATAGAAGGTCTTCCGATTAAAAAGGAAACCTACAATCCCTCAATGCTAAGGCGCATCATAGAGAAGCAAATATGCAGCATTCCAGTAGCCACCCACAACTTCACAGACGGATCGGTTTACACAATATGATTGTGCTGGCGCTGCTGTTTGCACGGACAGTAAACAGGCATATTGGAGATCATAAGGACCAGCATCAACCCAATCCGAGCCGCTTGACATACAAAAGGCATTCGTACATACGCTTGTGTAATGGCATTTTGAATTTTGTGCAGACTCAAAAGCTGCATTTCAAATATTAGGAAAAAAGCAGTGGAAAGTACGTGGAAATAACGACCATTTTGTATCTGAGGAGTCACTAAAGGCAAAAAGACTCGACATCACCCTAAACTGGATCACGTCCCATGTGGGAATCCCCTTAAATGAGAAGGCTGATTAAATTGCTAAATTGGCAACACGTCATCCATTGATATAATCCAACCCAGCCTACAGTACATTAAAGACCATCACCAAAAAACTCGTCTGAACAAAGCTTATCTACACCAGAATAGCAGAATGTTCGCCCTCTGCAATATGTTATCTTCAGACCACCAAGTTAGACAAATTAAATATCCAAAAGGAATCTACAGGTAAATAGCAGTTCGGTTATGTAGATTACGTCTAGGTTACAGATGCAACTGGGAGATTGGTTAACCCAGAAAGAGTGCACCGTCTGCCAAACAATCACAAGTGTCACTTTTTCGCCGCCATCTGGAATGTGAAGCAACCAACGACCTTAGAGGAGCTTTAAGAGTACCCGAATCTTTCCGTAACCACACTGATGCCATCAACACTGCCACTCTTATGGTTGGTGTGTGTGTGTGTGTGTGTGTGTGTGTGTGTGTGTGTGTGTGTGTGTGTGTGTGTGTGTGTGGTGTGTGTAAAAAAGGCATCCAGCAACTGGACACCCTCAAATACTGTCAACCCCGCGATAGCAGCCCGACGATTAAATTTTACCACTTACAGGCTATTCATGCCCGTGCCACCTTTTTGGTGGCTTAATCTTACTCGGTAGAATTGCGAATGGACTTCCAACACCTGTTTTACCTGATGACCTTTCTGCTGCCACAACTGCTACCATACCCTCCGCCCTGGTCGCAAGTCTCTCTGCCTTCACTTCCACTCCACAGACTACCACCAGATCGACCACGAAAACTAACAGACTCTAGAACCACCCAAGGCCCGGGTGGCACAAACAGTAATTCCCTCTCCAGTTCCCAACACTCCTACCGTCACTATCTCTGCAGTAATGCCAGCAGACGTGCCGTTTACAAATTCTAAAAGCACCACCAATGCTCCTGAAACAGCTACCACTAATCCACGACACCCGAGCCTACCTCAGGCTGCGGGATTAAAGACACCAACAGCATGTTACAGACTTCAGACTAGGAAATTTTAGGAGTCTTTCGCCACACCACAAATATCACACCTACTTGATACAATACTACCTCGAAGAGGTCACCTCACTAAACTTCAACGACAGCACTGATCAGCCAAAGTCTCGGGCAAACAGAAAACCTGGAGGGCTACACTAACCCACCAGCTCCATAATTGGTACCGCTAGCCCTTCGGGGCTGACATCCACCATGCAAACCCAATTACATCCCCAGATCTTTAGTATCGGCTCCTGATCCAGATAATGGACCTGGAAGGGCTTCCACTTAGGGCTCACCATAGCCCGTTCTACTTGGAACTTTAAGTAGCCGAGTCTTAACAATAAAATACTGTTACTTATCCGAGCGACACCGAGGAGCACGAACCACCTAGTGAAGAGTAGAGGGACTAGATAGCCAGAAAACACTGCCCATTATAAAAGTCACTTTCCAACCTCCTTCCAAGCCTAGAACAAAAGGGGAAAGTATCCTAAAGTGTACAGGTTACGGCAGTGAGCGAGACAAGCTGGGTGTGTGTGTGCAAGCCTGCGCGTCTTGTACCCACCGTTTTATCTAGCAATAAAAAAACACTGGCTCTCGGCCGAGCAGGGTTATTGGAAAAACTAAACTAGTCAATAGGTAAACCCCAAGTGGCGGCAGCTCAAGGAGGGAGAGGAAAGGGTGAATACATTTCAACTACACACCCACGTTTAAAATTTGATCCAATTATTAAAGAAAACAGTCTTGTCAATATTTAGATTAAGACAAAAAATCAAAAGAAGAAATAGAAACGGCAGGATTAGAGAACAACATTTTACCGATATTTATCTTCAGTAGCTGTATTTTAATCAACCTGTCCTCGACTCAAGTCCATTACATTCAGCGGTCAACCCCCACAGACGCAATCATAAATTTTAACATGCTGTTCATTCAAAACGGGAATTTTCTCAAGTATAAATTATTATAATAATATATTAGCATATTATGTATATATAGACATAGGTTAGGTGTTTAGGTTCTGATGGCGATTATTTGTATTTGTACGTGGGAGAAGCATTTATAGCGTTGTGATTCTAACAAAATTCGTCAGTGAAGCACTTGTTCCGGATATGTTCGAACGTCAGCAGGTGTGAGTCCAGTCCGTCCTCCAAACAAAGATCCAAAAGTGATTCCATGCACCCGCCAAACCCCCTGTTTATGAATGAAAAGCGGTTTACACACGACTCAACTGCTGACATTCGAACATATCTGGAACAAGTGCTTCACTGACGAATTTTGTTCGAATCACAACGCTATAAATGCTTCACCCACGTTCTACAAATACAAATAATCGCCAACAGAACCTAAACACCTAACCTATCCTATGCCTATATATACACAATATGCTAATATATTATAATATTAATTTTTACTCTAGAAAATTCCCGTTTTGAGTGAACAGTATGTTGAAATTTATGAATGCGTCTGTGGGGTTGACTTCTGAATGTAATGAACTTGAGTCGAGGACGGGTTGGCGAGTCGTGTGTAAACCAATTTTCATTCATAAACAGGGGGTTTGGCGGGTGCATGGAATCACTTTTGGATCTTTGTTTGGAGGACGGGTCGATTTTAACTAATACTCTAATCGTTTGATTACAAACCGTACGACTCTTGCTTCACGAAGCAGTGATTGCAAATCCAACCATTTTATTCCCATAAAAACCATCTCTAACCTTTGTGGTTTGAAGAAGGCTAGGGGGCAGGAGGGTGCTGGGCAGGTGGGTCTTCATCACTCTAGGAGCAGGTAGAGCCTCGCTAATCTGCAGAAATACTCCATCTTCTACCTTCTTGCCTGGACACATTTGACGAAACATTTTTGTGAACTGCTGAGGATTTTCAACAGTGCTTCTGATGGTCTTGCTGTCAAGCATCATGTCAAAGCTGGAATGTTTTTTTTGTTATTACTACTACACTTACCCAGAGCCGAAATACTTCAATTTAATCGCTTCAGAATACATTTTAGAGTATTCTTAAATCACCAGTTATGAAATAAGTTCTAGTAATACATTTCTTTATATAAACCCATCCAGAAGCACAAATATAGGATCTTTCATATATTGCAACCGATATACGAGTGGTTCTTTACTAATCTCACAAGTTGCACCCGACAGTTAACACAAGACTTCACATATTCAAGCACGCATTAACATCACGTGCACAAACGTGTGCTAATCATGAGGTAAGTAAGTAAGTAATTATCAAAAGAAGGCACCAAACCGGGAAGGCTATGTAGCACCATCAAATACGCAAAATAATCAGAGGGCGCTAAATATCACCAAGGATGCCAATACGAGAACAAAAACGCATAAGGCGAACGATATCAAAAGTATCCGAGTCACCAAGAATTCCATCGAGGGACAGGTGACCGCGAGAGGCGGTCGGAAAGCAAGACACACGCTCGTCCTGGAAGTCAGGACATTCAAGAAGGACATGCACGACCGTAAGAGGGACAATGCAACTAGGACAATAAGGAGCAGGGCGGCGCTCCATCAAGTGACCATGGGTTAAGCGAGTATGGCCAATACGCAACCTCGCCAGAGCTGTTTTCCACCGCCGGTTACGGTGGAAGGAGGACGGCCACGAGGAAACAACATTTAAGAGTACGTAGCTTGTTACCAGTAACAGACAACCAAGAAGCCTGCCAACGGGTAAGGACTGAGGAATGGATAACCGCGTAAAAGTCGGAATACGGAATGCCTTTACGAGAGGTGGGACAAGAGCGGACAGCTTCCTTGGCGGCAGCATCCGCACGCTCATTTAAGGACACACCAATATGGCTGGGAACCCAACAAAACTCAACCGACTTAAATTTACTGTGAACGAGAAACAGCCAATGCTGGATCTCGACAAGTACTGGATGAACCGGATTAAAGGACCCGAGAGCCATGAGGGCACTACGAGAGTCAACAACAACTACAAAGAGACTGACAACGAGAAAGCAGGAGACGAAGAGCATAGAGAATAGCATAAAGTTCCGCTGTAAAGATGCTAGTCTCCGGAGGCAAGCGACACATATAAGCGCGATCAGGAAAAACAACAGAGTAGCCAACACCGTCCGCTGACTTAGACCCATCGGTGAAGACAGAAACGGAGCGGGAGTGAGAAGAAAAGTGCTCGAGGAAAAGGCATTTTAGAACCGTAGGAGGGGTAAAAGCTTTAGTGATACAGGTCAAGGATGTACAAAACCGCGGAAGAGGGACCCTCCACGGGGGCAAAGAAGGAACAACACGAGGAGATACATCAGAAATACGAACGGAAAGAGAATCTTGTAGGCGAGATAACCGGACAGAAAGAGGGAGGTGGTGAAGAGGAACAGGAACCGCAGGAGGGGTAAAAGTTAAAGCACGACAGAGGCGAGAGGAAGGATGTTGCATGGACCGCGCAAGATAGCGAAGACAGTAGCGATCACGGCGGTCCTGGAGAGACAGGAATCCAGTGTCAACATACAAGCTAAGGATGGGAGTCGAACGAAAGGCACCAGAACTGAGGCGCAACCCAGTATGGTGCAAAGCATCAAGACGGCGAAGAGTATTAGGAGAAGCAGACGAGTAAGCAGGGCAACCATAATCGAGCTTCGACAGGACGAGAGAGAAATGTAAAGAGAGAGAAATGTAAAGCAAGGAGAGTGCGCCTATCTGCCCCCCCAAGAAGTATGGGACAAGACCCGTAGGAGGGTAAGGGCCTTAGAGCACTCAACACGGAGGTAAGAGATATGGGGAGACCAAGACAAACGAGTGTCAAGGAATAACCCCAAAAGCTTCGCGGAATCTTTGTATTCAAGGGGATGACCATACAGGGACAAAGAAGGACGAAGAACAACCCGTTTCCGCGTAAAGGTCATGGCACAAGTCTTAGAAGTAGAGAACTTGAAGTCATGATCTGTGGCCCAAGACCACACGGCATCAATTGCAAGTTGAAGCCGGCGTTGAAGGAGAGGCAAATCATCACCCTGACAACAAAGCATAAGATCATCGACATAGAGAGCGGAGAAGACACCAGAAGGAAGAGAGGAAAGAAGACCATTGAGGGCAACCAGAAAAAGAGTAGTGCTCAGAACACTACCCTGGGGCACACCTTCGTATTGTTGAAAAGAGGGAGAGAACGGTACCAAGGCGCACCCGAAAGGAACGACGGGAGAGGAAGCTGCAGAGAGAGGGGGAGATGACCACGAAGGCCAAAAGAATGAAGTTGAGATAGGATATGATGACGCCAAGTGGTGTTGTAAGCCTTTTCCAGGTCAAAAAGGACGGCAACAACGGATTAGGCAGCAAAAGCAGTACGAATATAGACCTCCAAGTTCACCAGGACATCTGTCGTGCTGCGGCACTTGCGGAAACCAAATTGAGAAGGGGAGAGGAGGTAATGGTGTTCCAGGAACCACATCAGACGAACGTTAACCATACGTTCAAAGAGTTTGCAGACACAACTTGTGAGAGCAATAGGGCGAAAGTCCTTAGGGGAAGTACCCAGAGACCCCGGTTTGCGAACAGGGAGGACAACAGCATCGAGCCATTCCTCAGGGACTGACGACGACTCCCAGATCCGATTATACAGACTTAGTAAATACTGAGACGCGCTCCGAGGAAGATGGCGAAGCATCTCATAATGAATACCATCGGAGCCCGCCGCCGTAGAACCGCAGAGGGCCAGGGCAGAACGAAGTTCAGAGAGAGAGAGAGAGAGAGAGAGAGAGAGAGAGAGAGAAGGGATCATTATAGGGAAGCTGAAGATGAGTGCAGAAATCTAAAGGACGAGACTCGAAGACAGGTTTACGAAGAAGGAAAGATTGGGGAAGATGAAGACCAGAGCTAACAGAAGAAAAGTTGGAACCCAGTTCGGAAGCAACCTGCAACGGGTCCGCCACAAGAGTATCATGGAGGTGAAGAACCGGTGAAACATCGGGAATGAACTTACCCGCTATCTTGCGGATACGGTTCCAGATCTGGGCCAGAGGGGTTTCGGACGTAATTGTTGAGACATAAGATGCCCAACATTCACGTTTAGCCGTATGGATGGCCCTACGGGCCACCGCACTCGCTTTCCGAAAGAAAAGAAAAGAATCGGGGGTCTGCCTACGGCGGTGCCTCTTCCAGGCTGCACGCTTACAGCGGACAGCCCGATCACAGTCCGCATTCCACCAGGGAACGCACTTCCGTGGACCCCAGGAGGAAGAGCGAGGGATAGAGCGGAGGGCAGCGTTGAAGACAGTGTCATGAAAAAGGAGGAGAGCGCGAGAGAGAGGCAGAAGGGAGAGGTCAGAGAGAGTAGCACCGAGGGAAAATAGGGTCCAGTCCGGCTTAGCAAACTGCCACGTAGGGAAAGAGGGAAGGGCGAAAAAAAACAAGGATGGGGAAATGATCACTTCCATGGAGGTCATAAAGAACCTGCCACGTGAAATCTAAGTAGAGAGAAGAGCAGAGAGAAAGATCAAGACAAGAAAGGGTGCGAGTCCGAGAGTCCAAATGAGTGGGCTCACCAGAATTCAGAAGAGACAGGGAAGAAGAGAGGGGAAACGGCTCAAGAAGGCGACCCCGGGTATTCGTCAGAACGTCACCCCAAACAGAATGACGACAATTGAAGTCACCCAGCAGGAGTACAGGCTCCGGCAAGGAGTCTAGGTGGTGTTTCAAATCAGGAAGAGAAAGCGGGACACTCGGGGAGAGATAAATGGAACAAACAGTACCATTTCCCCACAAAGACACGAGCAGCAGAACAATGAAGAGGTGAATGAAAAAGTAAAGGAACAAAGGGAACATCAGCACGAATCAAAAGAGCAGAAGAATTAGAAGCCCCAGCAACAGCTGGGGGGGGGGGGGGAGAGAAAGGAATAGCCACGAAAACGACCAGGACGAGCACCAAGCATCGGCTCCTGGAGACAGACACAAAGGGGCGAAAACCGCGAAATCAGAAGTTGGAGGAAATTTGCGTAATAACCTCGAATGTTCCATTGAAAAATGGACAACGACAAGAAGAGAAAGGACAAAAACAGAACAAGGAAGAAACAAAGGCGAAAGAGCAACAGAGCACGTTAAAGAATATCAGGGTCGGGATCAGGGTCAGCAAAGTCAGGGGGCATGGGTAAACTGAGCAAAGACGGAGGGAAGGAAACGGGAGAACAGATCAGAGGTGGGCGGGCGGGGTCCGGAGGAGGAGGAGACAACGGAGAGGAGCAGGCAAGGACAGCAGCAGGAAGAGGAGGGGTAGAAAGAGGGGAGCGTACCTCAGCAAGGGCAGCAACTGAGAGGGAAACGGGGGCTAAAGAAACCTCCATAGCAGGAACAGGGGGCGCAACCACCGAAATGGGAGGGGAAGGAGCGAGAGAGGCAGAAGTAGGGGCCGAGGAAGAAAGCGAAACCTTCTTACCCGCCGGGGAGGAGGAGGAAGGAGAGGAGCCAGGTTTACGCTTCTGACGTAAAGAGACAGGTGTTCCAGCAACCACGTACTGGGCAACGGATTCTAGCGTCTCAACAGGAGAAGCTGAACGAGAGCACACATGACGGCCGTTTGGAGAGCGATGGACATCAGCCGGCACCGACAGGCGGCGGGGCGAGTCAAGAGACGGAGGAAGGATGGGAAGGAGGAACGGAGGGAGACGAGGAAGAAGACACAGGAGACACGACAGATCGGGTAGAAGGAAGGGGAACCCCAGACAGAGGACCAGGAGGAGGATCCTTCGGGAGAGAACCCAAAGGAACAGAGGAGAGGGCAGTGGGCGCATCAGGGTCCAAGGCCCGGAAACGGTTGCGAGTCTGAGGAAGGCGGGAAGGACGAGGAGAGGAAGAGCGCAACACGCGAGCATAAGAGATATTAGCATAAGGCGGGAGCCGGCGAACCTGGCGTCTCGCCTCGGGAAAAGATAAACGCTCCCGGTGCTTCAAGTT